CCCTCTTATTCCTGGGTTATTTCAAATAATTACTATTGTTGGACCTTTGGATTTTTTCAACTATTCTAAAAATTATGACTGGAACATAGTGGCTACTCAATAAATATTTAACTGAAACAATATATGAATGAATGATGCCATGCTATTGGATGTTCACTTCTATGTGCTGATTGAGAGTGTACATGCAGTCTTGTAGAAGGGCCACCAAGTTATGAAGAACTATGAAATATGATATCTACTTCAACTACATATGTGCAGAGTACATAAAGGAAGGAGTGTCTAAATGCATCTGGAAAGATGTTGCTTAGAAGAGGCAAGTCTAAAACAGAAGGCAGAGGGATTTAGGTAATAGAGGAGAAGTAAATAGATTGTTATTTCAGAATTGATAAATTGTTATCTGAGGTAGGTAACAAGAAGTTGACCTGGCAGAAGCAAGATAGCTGGGCTGGGAAGTGAAGACCTATAGGTTATATAAAGCTGCATTGGTTCTTCCTGGTGACTTATGGGAGACTGTAAGACTTGGTGCTCATAGCTAGAAACTTCACTTATTCTATTCACTCAGTAGTCCACCTGCTGCGTATTCACATATATTTGTCTAAACTGTGTCAAAGGAGGCAAATGTGAGACCCTGAGCATAAGTTAGCTCCTGAGCAAACTTTAAGGAACTGCACACAGATACTATTGGCCATTTGGTAGATAAAGTTTTGGATGGTATTTTTTGGAAATTGTGTATTCTGTTGACCTGTTACTTTGGGTATGGGAGGGCTGTTGAATTATATCTTAAGGAACTGCAGTCTGTAATTCATGGAAATGTTTTCATAGAAATAAAAGGAAAAAGCCCAGCCATGGTGGCGCAGGCAGTAGGACACCACTGCATCATACTGGAGCCATGTGAGGGGCCCCAATTCAAATCTTTGGTCCATCTGAACATGGTGGGCATGCCTGTGTGACCCTGTAATCCTGGATTGACTGGGATGGTTAGGGAGAATCATGGCATGGGAAAACCCTGTCCAGGATAACACTCTCTCATGAAAAGAAGTAATCTGAAAAACAAAAACAAAAACAAAAACTCCCCTGCCTTTATCTTGATTTTAGGGAGAAATTATTCAGTCTTTCACCATTGAGTATGATGCTAGTGGTGGGATTTTCATAAATTCCCTTTATTATGTTAAGGGAGCTCTCTTTTGTGCCTCTTTTTAATTTTTTTTATTATGAAAGACTTTTGAATTATGCATTCATTGAGATGACCATGTAGATATTTTTTCCTCTTCATTCTGTTAACATGTACAGATGCTCCTTGACTTACCATGGAGTTATGTCCTAGAAAACCCATCGTAAGTTGAAAATTCAATAAGCAGAAAATGCACTTAATACACCTAACCTACTGAACATCATAGCTTAGCCTAGCCTACCTTAACATGCTCAGAACACTTAACATTAGCCCACAATTGGGCATAATCGTCTAACACAAAGCCTATTTTTCTAATTTTTTTTGAGAGGTTTTTGCTATAGGGTGTGCGTGCTCACCAGAAAGACAGAGAGAAACAGAGAGACAGGAAGTGAGAAATAAGCCCCCAGGGGGAATGGTCCCAGAGCAATCCCTTCTCCTCCATTTCCTCTCGGGACCTTGGGCATGCACGCACACGTGCCTGGCGTGAGTTTAATCCACTGGGTCTGGGACTCAAACCACGGTTGACTACATGGGAGTCCAGCTACATAGCCATAATGCCAACTGCTGGTCCCAAAGCCTATTTTGTAGTGAAGTGTTAACTATCTCATGTATCTATCTAATACCATAGTGAAAGTGAAAAACAGAATGGTTATATAGAGTACTCAAAGTATGATTTCTACTGAATGCATATAGTTTTTGTGTCATAAAGTAAAAAAAATCATTAAGCTGAATATTATGTCAAGTGCCATCTATATCACATTGATTAATTCTCATATGTTGAACCATCCTTGCAGTCCTAGAATAAGTAATACTTGGTCATTCTATATAATCCTTTTAATATACAGCTGATTTTATATTCTTTATATTTAGTTGAGTTTATTTAAATCTATAATCATAAAGGATATTGATAGCTTCCCCCCTCCCCCATGATGTCTTATCTGGCTTCAGCAAGGGGTAATGCTGGCCTCATAGAATGCATTAGAAAATGTTTCTGATAATTTTGAAGTGCTTGATAAATATTAATGCTAATTCTTCTTTAAATGTTTTGTACAACTCACTATGAAAGCTACTAGTCCTCTTAGTTCAGAAATTTTTGTTTTGTTTTTATAGTTTATTATTATAGTTTATTCATTCATTTCCTCTATGAAAGAATGAGAGAAAGAGAGATGGAAAGACAGTATTTTATAATATCCATCTCTGTTTTGGTACATTATTTTTATTTTATATTGCTGAGTTTGATTTCCTTATATTTTAGGGAGACATCATTATCTGCAGTTAATTATGTGAGATAGGCACATCTAAGACTTGGAGGTTACCACAGGAGGAGTTCAGTGTGGTGGGTCTGGTGGGGATTGGGGATTTCCTGGGGAAGATGCCACGCAGAGGATACCACTAACTTGGACCGTTGTAGAAAACAATCAAATAACAGATCCAACAGGGGTTTAGAGTATGGTGAGTAGTTAAGCCAAATGATATCTAAGATGCTTTCCAATGCTGCAAATGTATCCTCTAAAATAGTCAACTATTTAATAGACATTTTAACATTTATTATAGTATTTAATCTTCATAATGTTCCCATGGAAGAATAAATATTACTCCCATTTGTATAGAGAGGTAACTGAGACTCACACTAGTAATAGAGGAGCTGAGAATTCTAGGAACTAAATTCCTTAACTGGTGATGTTTCCTTTATCTGCAATATTCTTCCTTTTTGTTCTGCTCATACATTAGGGAAGGAAAGAATAAGCATTCATGGGGACCATACCATCACAAACTCTGTGGTCCATGATTAGAAACAATTTTATTGTATTATTTAAGCTACCTGCAAAACTGACCCAGATGTGATAGGAGTTGTACAGAAAGTATCTCATTTTATCTTCACAGCCCATCAGAGGCACAGGAAAGTTAGGTTTACTTGTCCAGGCTAAGTTATGTATCCAAAGGCACACACCCAAAGAGGGATGGAGTAGAAACTTTACCTTCCCCTATGGTCCAGGCTATTTATCATTTCCCTGCTAAACCTCCCCTGAGCCATGTTAAGTCCTCTAGGTTAGAAGAGAGGTCTGTGATTAGAAACAGTTCTATTGTGAGATTTTAACTACCTGCAAAATTAACCCAGATGAGGAAGTTGTTACATTGCCCTCACTGTTGTCTGATCCCTCATGCTCTGCATTCAGCATTTGTTCTACAGAGGGATGCCCGTTAAGTATAGGACATAACTATTTATAGGCCTCAAATAGGGCCAAATTAGGAAAGTCCCTGGTCCTAGGACGGGGATAGATTCCTGTTATAAGCCTTGATCGTTCCTTTGCTCTTTGGTTTAGATGTTAAATGTCATGATGAGACTTTCTGTCCGTGAGGAGGGAAGGAAAGGGTAGTAGTGGTGAGGAAGATAGAGGAGGGTGGGAGACATCAAAAGATAGTGACAGCAGTATGGCACAATTAAGTAACATTTCTTGGATCACAGAGGCAAATGCCATTAATCTTTCAACCAACATTTTATTCTCTATTTTCTTCTTAGCATGTCGATAGCTGCTTCAGGTCATAAAAAAATAAATTTAGTGAAATGAAGCTTAGTATAATACTCACTAAGAAACTAAAACCAAAAGTTAGACATAAACTATCTCATTCCACTGTAATGTTTGGCTGAACTCATAAGAATGGTGATGAGGCTATTCTTGGATGCTTGCACTGAAATGAACCACATGAAGAATATTTAGGAAATTTGAAGGGGATATTTGGCATGTGGAGTAAAATAATTTCTTCAGGTCCAGGGAGTGGAATGAAAATTGGCATGATCATTTTGGAGAATATTTGAAGTCAGAGAACTAGGATGGAATTCTCAAAGAGAATGTATCAGGGGAATAAGAGACTAATAAAAAGCATTTGTATTTGTAGGATGGTAGGGAGAGTAATTCAAAGAAATCAAAGGTAAAGAGAAACTTAAGTAGGGGAGGAGGAAATCCTCTAATACTTGCAATTATTTAAAAATAAAAAGGAGTCAAATGAAAAGAACATATCAGAGGTCAGTAGACTTTTATGGGAGTATAAAGTTGGTTTTATGGAAGCAAAGCCCTTTTCATTGCTGTAGGAAACTCCCAGCTGCCTGCTAACTATGAACATCTGATCCACTCACAGCTGTGTTTAGCTAGTCTTGCTCCTGGCTTGTACCTTACAACCTGGGTATGTGGAAAGCCCAGAGTTTCTGGAGAGTGGGCCAAAGTTAGATATTGGAGTTTGCCCTTTAATTTGTTGTGCTGATTCTTCTTAAGGAAGAACAAAGATTGTGAGGACACATGTTAGAATTTGAGCTATGAGAAATGACAATGAAAGTACATTGACTCCAAAAACTTGAGTCAATTTGAAAACTCCCAGTCTCTTAGGATAGAAAATATATTCTTATTTAGAACTTTTTGATGTAATCACAGATGTGGGACTGGTTCTTTTCATGAAACTCATTAATTGAAAGTATATAATCCAAATTCAATGAAATAGTAAGATATAGCAAAGTCTGATTTCATTAACATTTCAAAATATGAATAATGACTATATACTTAATCCAAGAAATTCACATTTTCCACTGACCACTGAAAAGCAATGGAAATAACCCCAATCATAGTAGCAGCTCACAGTGGGGCAGCCTATCTCCAGTATAATTTATTGATTCCAGCTGATTCTTAAATTGGACATGAGAGTGGGAAAGGAATTTAGTCATTAAGTTAGGCTTGATGAGAAACAGATACAACTTGAGTTGTAGATTCAAATATGTATTATAATACTTCATTTCTCCTCAGAGATAAATTATTCACCATAATTTTTCTCTTCATAGGCTCACGCCAAAGTTTGGCATCTCTACAATACTACTTTCCGTCCAACCCAGGGAGGTCAGGTGTCAATTGCTCTAAGTTCTCACTGGATCAGTCCTCGGAAAATGACCAACCATGGCATCAAAGAATGTCAAAAATCTCTTGACTTTGTACTAGGCTGGTTTGCCAAACCCATCTTTATTGATGGTGACTATCCTGAGAATATGAAGATTAATCTTTCATCTCTTCTTCCTGGTTTTACTGAATCTGAGAAAAAGTTAATCAAGGGAACAGCTGACTTTTTTGCTCTTTCTTTTGGGCCAACCTTGAGTTTTCAACTATTGGACCCTCATGTGAAGTTCCGCCAATTGGAATCTCCCAGCCTGAGGCAATTGCTTTCCTGGATTGACCTTGAATATAATCATCCTCAAATATTCATTGTGGAAAATGGCTGGTTCGTCTCAGGGACCACCAAGAGAGATGATGCCAAATATATGTATTACCTCAAAAAGTTCATAATGGAAACTTTAAAAGGTAAAATTCTCATTTCCCACCAAACCCCACTGGGAATGCCATCTTTAAGATGATCTGCAATAAACTCTGTGAATTTATATTTCTTAATTATATTGTAGTAGCTCACTTTGGCAATAGTCAGGGTGCACTTATGTAACACCTTTCTCATTTGGGGCCTTGAGAAACTTAAGTGAATTTTTAAAACTCATTTTTAAATGAGAAACTGGGTTATAATGTTTTAAATTACCTTTCAGAGTTATTAATCTAGAGTCTTTGATTATATAAATAAATCCCTAGATATCTAGCTCTCTGTAGATGTTTATGAGTTATTGCTTTTGTTGAATAAAACACTTAAAAATATTTACATTTTCTGCAGAAAATAGTGAGTAGTTCATGCTTTGAAAACCTTTATACATTTATTGCATAAAGTACAAAGCAAGGTGCCTGAGATGGTGAAAAAGACATCTTCCAGCCCTTATTTTCCCACTGGAAATAAACTGTACCATTAAGGTGCTTGGAAATTCAAATAAAAATATAGTGGAGATAAGTGTTTTCAAATAAACACTTATATGTGGAGTTATCCACATTTGAATAGAACCTTTTTACTTTTTTTTTCTTTCTTTTTTTTTTTCGCTATAGGGTGTGTGCACTTGCCAGACAGACAGAGAGAGACGTAGAGACAGGAAGCGAGAAATCACCCCCCAGGGGGGATGGTCACACCGCTATTCCTTCTCCTCCATTCTCCTCTCGGGATCTTGGTCACGCAATCACACGCACCCGGCATGAGTTTTAAGCCACTGGGTCCGGGATGTGAACTGTGGTCCACTATGTGGGAGTCCAGCGACATAGCCATTACGCTAACTGCTAGTTCCCTGAATAGAACCTTTTATCAATAAGGAAAATCATTGGTTTGCCAAACAAGAAGATTATACTTAATTTCTTTATGTAGTAAAACCTTCAGCTGCTCTTGGATCATGAGGTGAATGCCTAGTGAAGTATCACATTGTTCTTGTCCTCTCTTCCTTTTGCAGCTATTAAGCTGGATGGGGTCCATGTGATTGGCTACACAGCCTGGTCCCTCATGGATGGCTTTGAGTGGCACAGAGGCTACAGCATCAGACGAGGACTCTTCTATGTTGACTTCCTAAGTCAGGATAAGAAGTTGCTGCCAAAGTCTTCAGCCTTGTTCTACCAAAAGCTGATAGAGAAAAATGGCTTCCCTCTCTTACCTGAAAATCAGCCCCTAGAAGGGACATTTCCCTGTGACTTTGCTTGGGGAGTTGTTGACAACTACATTCAAGTAAGTCAGCTGACAAAAACAATCAGCAGTCTCACCAAGCCCTATCACTAGTAAGTAGTGTTTCTTTCTTAGGCTGGTTGTTATGGCACATGGTCCGTTCTTTGAGCCAAATATGATTCCTTAATGAGCACAGTAAGTGCACAGTTTGGAATGTCAGGCCCTTCTTTCAAAAAACTTCTAATCTTTATCTTACTCTTCAAATTATATCTAAAGGGAAATTAAAAAAAACACAAAGATTTAAGATCAATAGGATGATAAACAGATAAAACAATCAGTACTGCTGTTTTCTATCCTTTTTAAAGCAACTGACTTTTTTCATAAACAGGATGTAATGTAGAAGTCCCCTACAAACTTACAGAAGTATTAATACCTTAAGAAAGAAACTCTTGCTCCAGCGATTCACTGATTGGAATGTACTTTTTAAGAATCAAAGAAATGATATGAAAATTCTTCAAAATGCTCAGCCAGTATTTATTTAACATCTATTATGTAGTGAATCCTGGACTTTCTTTATTTTTTAAAAAATTCATTTTTAAAATACATTCGATCATTGTATATCATTGCAGCATATAAGATGAATTTTCCTAACATAAATACACTGTATTAGTCTAGTCAAAGATATTATAATATACATTATCATCAGTAGACAATTTTCCATTTCTATGTCCCTTAAATATTTTGCTTCCTTCTTTTTCCCATTGATTTCCTTCTTCTTACACTCTCCAATTTATCACCCTCCTCCCACACTGTTTCCACAATTGTTCTCCATGCTTTTATAGTTTCCAGTCTTTCAGTTTCTGCCATAGATTGTAACATTTGGTATATATTGAGTGGGAACATCCAGTGCCTCTCTTTCATAGCCTGGCTTGCTTTGCTTAGGAGTAAGTCCCCATATTCATCCACTTTATCAAATGCCAGGATCTCATTTTTTTTTAAATGTCTGAGTAGTATTTTATAGTGTATATGTGCTACATTTTTTAAATCCATTTATCTATTCATGGACATTTGGTTTGATTTCATGTCTTAGCAAATGTAAATAATATCATAAGAAACATGGATGTGCACATATTTTTTGGACAGAATGTATTCCTGTCCTTCGGGTAGATACTTAGGAATAGAATTACTGGATCATATGCTAAATCTAAAGTATTTGTAGGTCTTTGAGAAACTTCCATATTGTTCTTCATAGTGTCTGTACTAACGTACATTCCCACCAACATTGTATGAGAGTTTCCTTTTCATCACAGCCTCATCAGCACTAAGCATTTTAAAATTTTTTTGATCTTAGCCATTATGACTGGGGTGAGGTAGTGATTCATTGTGGTTTTGATTTTCATCTCCCATATGATAAAGGATGTTGAACATTTTTTCATATGTTTTTTGACTGTTCGTATATCATCTTTAGAGAGTTGTCTGTTCAGCTCATTTGTCCATCTTTTAATTGGTCTGATCATTATTTTTTCATGTAAGCCTCTTAAGTTCCTTGTATATTCTGGTTATCAGTCCTTTATCTGAGACATTGTTTGCAAATATATTCTCTCAATCTGAAGGTTGCCAATTCACTCTAATTATTGTTTCTTTTGCTGAACGGAGGCTTTCATAATTTGATGTAATCTATTTGTCTACTTTTGGAGTCATTTTCAATTGACTTTTGCTAATGGTGAGAGAGAGGGATTCATTTCCATCTTTCTGCAGGTGGATACCCACTATTTCCAGCACAATTTGCTAAGGAGATTTTCTTCTCCTCACTGGATTGACTGTTGCTCTTTGTCAAAATCAGTTGGATGTATGTTTTGGGGTTTATTTCTAAGGTCTCTATTTTGTTCCATTGGTCCACATGCCTGTTTTTGATTCAATACCATGCTGTTTTCATTACCATAGCTTGGTAATATATCTTGGGGTCAGGGAGTGAGATATCTCCAACTCCACTGTTCTTGTGCAGTATTGCTTTGGCAATGCAGGGTCTTTTATGATTCCAGATGAATTCTGTGATTGCTTTGTTTAAATCTGTGAAGAATATCTCTAGTAATTTTATTGGGATTGCATTATATTTACAGATTAATTTAGGTAGGATTGACATTTTGATTATATTATTTCTTCCAATTCAGCAACATGGGATGTCCTCCAACTTTTTTGTGTTGTTTTCAATTTCCTTTTTAGTGTTACATAGTTTTCCTTGTTAAGGTCTTTGATTTCTTTGGTTAGATTTATTCCTAGATATTTTATTTCTTTTGCGATTTTTGTATATGGAATTGCTTTCTTCAACTCTACCTCAGTCTGTTCACTGTTGGTATACAGAACTAATGTAGATTTTTGTATGTTTTATTTTGTATCCTTCCAGTTTACTTTATTCATTTATCACTTCCAGGAGTTTTTCTGTGGAGTCTTTTGTTTCTTTATATATATATAATTATATCATCTGTAAATAGAGATAATTTCACTTCTTCTTTATCTCTTTTAGTTTGAAAAATTTTAGTCTCTTTGTCTGATTGCATTGGCTAGGACTCCCAATACTGTATTGAAAAGGAGTGGAGCAAGTGGGCAGCCTTGTCTTGTTCTAGTTTTTAATTGAAAAGCTTTCAAAAGTTCCCCATTCAGTATCATAAAGTATGATGTTAGCTATGGGTTTTCATGTATGGCTTTTATTGTGTTGAGAAATTTTCCTTCTACAGTGATTTTGCTGAGTCTTAATCATGAAGGGTTGTTTTATTTTATCAAATGCTTTTTACGCATTGATTTATGATTATAACATTTTATCTCTTTCTGCTAATATAGTGTATTACATTTATAGTTGTGTATATGTTGAACCATTCTTGCATCCCTGGAATAAAGCCTACCTGGTTGGGTATAAAATCTTTTTAATGTTTCTTTGGATAAGATTTGCTAGGGTCTTGTTGAACATTTTTGCATCTATGTTCACCAGAGATAATTGGTCTGTAATTTTCATTTTTGGTATGCCCTTGTTTGTTTTGGGGATCAGGGTGATGAAGGGCTCATAAAATGAATTTGGGAGGATTCTTTCCTTTTGGATCTTTAGAAATCGTTTTAGTAGAATGGGTGTTAGCTCTTCTTTAGACATTTTGTGGTATTCAGAAGTGAAACCATCTAGACATGGGCTTTTCTTTTTTGAGAGATTATTTGTCACTGATTCCATTTCATTCCTTGTTACTGGTTTATTCAGATTTTCTATCTTCCTGATTCAGTCTTGGTAAATTGTATGTGTCCAGAAATTTGTTCTCATCCAGGTTTTCTTGTTTGTCAGCATATAGTTGCTCACAGTATTCTCTAATGACCTTATGTATTTCTGTTATAGTTATTGTAATAGTGCCTGTTCTGTTGCAAATATGATTTATCTGGTTCCTTTCTTCTTCTTAATTAGTTTAGCTAACAGTGTGCCAGTTTTGTTTATCTTCTCAAAGATCCAGCTTTTGGTTTCATTTATCTTCTGTAAAATTAGTTTATTCTCTATTTCGTTTATTTCTGCTTGAATATTATTTCTTTTCTTCTGATATTTTTGTTGTTGTTACAGTCTTTCCAGTTTCCTGAGGTGTGTTGTTAGGTTGTCTGTTTGTGACCTTTCCATCTTTTTATTATGTACACCAATTGCTATGAGCTTTCCTCTTATGACTGCTTTTGCTGTGTCCCATAGGTTATGGAAACTTGTGTATTTGTTACCATTGGTTTCAATTAATATTTTGGCTTCAGTATTATTTTCTTCAGTGGTTATGAAGTCATTCAGGAATAAGTTATTTAGTTTCTATATGTCTGTGTATTTTCAGGATTTTTTTCTGCAATTAATTTCAGGTTTAATTTCATCATGATCTGAAGATGTTAGATATAGTTTCTATGTCTGAATTTGTAAAGGCTTCTTTTGTGCCCTATTATGTGGTCAGTCTTCAAAAAAGTTCCCAGTGGAGATGAGAAAAATGTATATTATGTATTAGTTGGTTGGAAAGTTTAATCCCGAGAGAAGAATGGAGGAGAAGGGATTGCGGCGTGACCATCCCCCCTGGGGGGTGATTTCTCGCTTTCTGTCTCTATGTCTCTCTCTGTCTGTCTGGCGAGCGCACGCGCCCTACAGTGAAAATCTCTCAAAAAAAAAAAAAAAGTTTAATAGATGTCCTTCAAGCTCCATTTCAGTTATGGTGTCATTTAGATCCTGTGTCCCTTTTGTCTAGATGATCTGTCCAAAGGACATAGTGGGGTATTGAGATCCCCAGTGATTAGTATGTTGTAGTCTATCTCTCCCTTTAAATTCAGCAGTCTTTCATGTACTTGGTTACTCCTGAGTTGGGTGCATAGATATTTGTAAGTGTTATATCTCCTTGGTGAAGTAGCCCTTTTAGTACTATATAATGTCCTTCTTTGTCCCTTCTTATAGTTTTGGTCATAAAGCCTATTTTTTCTGATATCAATATTACAACTCCAGCCTGCTTTTGATTTCCATTTGCATGGAATATCTTTTTCCAGTCCTTCACTTTTAGTCTATGTATGTCTTTATCCAGGAGGTGCATTTCTTGTAGGCAGCAAATAGAAGGTTTCTTTCTTTCTTTCTTTTTTTAAATCAATTTAGCCAGTCTGTGTTATTATTATTATTAGAGAACTTAATCCATTAACATTTAATGGTATTTTCTGTATTTTTCAAACTTGTCCTTGCCATTTTGTTAGCCTTTTTGTTTGTTTGTTTGTTTTTCTGTTATTTCTCTTTGTCTCTCTTTAGTTTTCCTGATATAACATTCCCTTCAGTACTTCTTGAAGAGTTGGTCTATATTGGTGAATTCTTGTCTTTGATTGTTACCAGTTTGACTATGATGTGCCATGGAGAGGATCTTCTTATGTCAATTCTATTTGGGATCCTTTGTATTTCTTGGGTTCAGATATCTGAATACTTCTCTAGATTTAGAAAGTTCTCTGCAAGTATTTCATGGAGTAACTCTTTTATGCCCTTGTCTAATTCTTCATCTTCTGGAATATCTATTATTCAGATATTTAGATGTTTA